CACCTGGACTGGATCCCTCCAAAAGGTGCTGGGACAGTCTGTCCCAGGGACTTTGGGCCAGCAAGGCTGTGAGGGGAGCTCTTAAAACCAGATCAGTGTTATCAGCCTGACAGGAAAGCTGGGACACAAATAAAGTCAGCCCCGTGTCCTTGCACAGAGCACTGGTTTCACCTTGTGCTGCTGCTGACTGTGGTTTGTTTGTGCTGCAGCAACTGTCTGCACGTGGTGGAGCCCATGCCAGTGCCCGGGAATGATGTGGAGGCCTACTGCCTGCTCTGTGAGTGCAAGTACGAGGAGCGCAGCACCACCACCATCAAGGTACGAGCTCTGTGTCCTGTGTCCTGCTGCCTGACGTGCCACAGCAGCCCAGGGTGACTGCAGTCACTGCCTGTGTCCTGCTGCCTGACATGTCACAGCAGCTCAGGGTGACTGCAGTCACTGCCTGTGTCCTGCCCCTGACATGCCACAGCAGCTCAGGGTGACTGCAGTCACTGCCTGTGTCCTGCTGCCTGACATGTCACAGCAGCTCAGGGTGACTGCAGTCACTGCCTGTGTCCTGCCCCTGACATGTCACAGCAGCTCAGGGTGACTGCAGTCACTGCCTGTGTCCTGCTGCCTGACATGTCACAGCAGCTCAGGGTGACTGCAGTCACTGCCTGTGTCCTGCCCCTGACATGTCACAGCAGCTCAGTGTGACTGCATTGGGTTCCTGGAGAAGAGCCCACAAAGAGAAAACTGTCACAGCAAGTACATGGTGGCAGTGCCAGGGGTTACAACTCTCTGAAAGGTGAGGGGTGGTTGGTTGTCCTCTTCTCCCAGGCAGCCAGTGACGGGACAAGAAGACATGGTCCCAGGCTGTGCCAGGGGAGGTTTAGGTTGGACATTAGGAAGAATTTCTTCACAAAAAGGGTGTTGGATACTGGAAGGGGCTGCCCAGGGACGAGGTGGAGTCGCTGTCCCTGGAGGTGTTCGAGGAACAGCTGGATGTGGCACTGAGTGCTCTCTGGGCAGGGTGACAAGGTGGGGATTGGTCACAGCTTGGACTCCATGATCTCAGACATATTCTCCAACTGAAGTGATTCAGGGATTCTGTGACTTCTGTGATTTCTGTGATTCTGTGTCCAAGCCAGGGGCATTCCTGGTAGTGAGGAGCTGTGTGGGAGCTCAGTCTTCTTGCTGGGGATGTGTGACAGCGCTAACTAAGCACCTCTGACCAGGGCCTTATCTTGTCTCTTATGTGCAGACCATGCCCTCAGTTGGCACAGTGAGAGCATCAGCATAGTTTGTGCAGTGATGGCACAAGCTTGGCCTCCTGGCAAGAGCAAGAGACTCTTGTGAGCAAAATGAGAACAAGAGATCACACAGAGGCAGCTGCAAAGGACCTTCCTGACCTCTGTGGTGCTTCTTATCTACACTGCTTATCCTTTCCCTCTGCGCTGTCCTCAACTGCAGGTGATCATCATCATCTACCTGTCCGTGGTGGGGGCCCTGCTACTCTACATGGCGTTCCTGGTGCTCGTGGACCCCCTGATCCGCAAGCCAGACCCCTACACCCAGCCCCTGCACAACGAGGAGGACAGCGAGGTGAGGGGGCAGGGGGACAGGACAATGGGGGACAGGGAAACAGTGGCCTCCTGCTTGTCTCCTCTGACCCAGTGAAGGACCAGCATTGTGGTTTAGGGACAGTTACACAGGTGAACATTTAGACTCAGACCTCTGCAGGTCGTGCAGAAGCATGAGGAATATTCAAAGCTCTGTGAAACGAGCCCAAGGCAAGCCCTGCCCTCAGAGGCAGAGGGAGCTTTGTAGCAACTGGCCTGAATTTGCTTTGTCCATTTAGAGGGAGCAAAAAGTCAAACAGATCCTGTTTGTGCAGTGTCCCAGGTGGAGTTTTGTGGTGCTGAGCTTCCAGGGAAAGATGAGCTTGAGTGTTGGCTGAAATGTCCTCTAGACACTTAAAACATGGCCTATGAGATGCTGTTTGATCCTGCTCTAGGGCTGGGCCCTGAGCTGTATCCAGGCTGTTTTTCCTTGTGTTTCTCCCCAGAGCACAATTTCATTCAAACCCCATCTTTTTGTGGGATGCTGGTGTACAAGCCATGGGCAAAATGATTAGGACCCAGTAGCAAAGAAAGAGCCACTCTCTATCTTTGTCACACACCAGTTTAGGGAGAGGACAAATTTCTTGCTGCATAAAATCCAGGCAGTTACAGCACTGTGTTGGACTGTCCTGTTTGTACTTTGTTGTGAGTATAAACTATTTGGCCTAATTCCTTCATACTCTGATGTGAGGAGCAGCTGCTCCAGAGTTCACAGTTCATCCATTGCCTCCCTCTGCTGCAAAAGGAGGTCCTGCAGGAGGAGATGAATTGTACCCCAAAGTCATGGGTTTGCACCCCCTCTGCAGCAGTAATTCAGATCCAGATCCAGGTGCCCGTGGTAAATGGTGTCAGGGGAGGTTTATCTCACTCCAGTATGCTGGACTAAGTCCACTGGGATAGGCCTTGTTTGTTTGCCATGCTGGATCTCCTGGTTTTAGCAGGGGGATGTGGTTCACTTTGGCTCCTTGCAGACTCCAAGAGTGAATTTCCAACAGAGCTTTGTGCAGTTCCTCCCCTGGGGACTTCTGTCTGGAGTCATGGGTGATCCCCAAGGTCAAGGACTTGGGGCTGGTGTTGAGGAGCTCTCAAAAAGAGGTTTTTCATCAGAACAACTCAAACCTTGAACTGCTCTTTCAGGTGCAGTTTCTCCCCAAGTCAGCTGCCTCCCTCTGTGCTTGGGCTGGGCATTGCCAGGTCTCCAGCCCCGTTCTTTTCCTTGTAGGACACTCGCTCCCTGGCTGCAGTGCCCACCCTGGCTGGTGCCAGGGCCAACACGGTGCTGGAGCGGATGGAGGGGGCGCAGCAGCGCTGGAAGCGGCAGGTGCAGGAGCAGAGGAAGACGGTGTTCGACCGGCACAAGATGCTCAGCTAGGCTGGGCTCTGCCACATCAGAACACCCCAGCGTTGGAATGGAACTCCAACCCTCCCTGATTCACCATCTCCAGAGGGAGCAGCAGCCCCAAAGGCTTCTCTGCTCGTGTCCTCTGCCGTTCCTTTGCCCAGCCTCGCTGGCCCTGGGGCTGTGACTGCCATGTGGAGCTCGGCTGAACGTGGGACTCCATCAGCCCACCCCAGCAGAAACAGGCTGGGAACAGAGAGCTGGGAGCTGGCTGAGTCTTCCTGGGATAAAAATAGTGGGAGAATTTTGATGTGGGATAAATTATGTGATGTTTCTCCAGGATGCAGCAGCCACCTCCTCCCCCAGTGTGCACTGATGGTCCGTGGGCATTGTGGTGCTGAGCCACATATGCAGCACAGGAATAAAGGGGAGGGAGTTTCTGCCAGTGGGCACTGCTGCTTCCACTTACCCTGATGTAAATGGAGAGATTTCCATACCTCTGGAGTCTGTCCAGGTTTACACCAGCATAACTGAGACTGCAGCTTGCTTCTGGGCAGGTGAATATCACAAAACCTGTTAGTACCTACATCAGTAAGAGTCCAACAGATAAAAAGCTGATTTACATTTCTATCTTTTTGTGCTGTACCGGTAGATAAAAACCTCCTGGGGTGAAACCTCTCCATTTACACCTACACTGGTGACTCTTGGTGTTCTCCCAGGGTGGGCAGCAGCATTTGTGTCCAAGAGAACTGGGGCAAAGGCTCTCCTGGAGCACTGGAAATGCCTGTCAAGGCCCTGGACACTTGTGTCATTCAGAACACTCCCAAGAGCTGACAGGACTTGGGCTGTGTGGAGGAAGCTGCAGTGGTTCTGCTGTGTGTATCGATCCCACGGAGAACATTTGGAGTTTATGGTGTAGCACCTCTGTATTAAATGCAGACAAAGATCTACTGCCTGAGTGACTTTCTGTCAGGGGAAAATCCCCATCTTGCCAGGTCTGGGGCTCTCCATCTGCCTCCCAGTGCCCAGCAGGTGATCTGATGGCACCTGAAGCCAGAGCTGTGGTTATGGCACTGCAGGAGTGTCCCTGGCACTGCTCCCTGCTGACAGCAACTGTCCTGCTCCAGGCTGGGAACACAGGCAGACCAGAGTCCTGCTTGGCACAGGTCAGTGACTTCACTTCTCTGGGCTATCCCGTGGGAAAGCTAAGCAGACTGGAATTCTACCTTTTCAAGAAGCTGAGAAATTGTAGCTAAAAGCTTAATTGGGAGAGGTGCCAGTCACTGCCCTGTGTGTTGGGGTCTGCAGCTGCTGGTGGAGCATGCAGCCCCCCAAGCTGACCCTGCCAGACAAACCCAAAGAGCAGCCTTTGGGAGCCTGTGTGTACCCCAGTTAGCCTTCAGCAGCTCACTGGGCTGAAAGGGGCCGAGAGCTTCACATCATCCCGAGGTCACGTTTTCCTTGGCTCAATCTTTCCCTAGTGCTCCATTCGAGGCATTGCTCCCCTTTGTATGAGCCCCATCTTGCCTGTCCTTCCCTCTCGGTGTGGATCCCGCATGGACACGAGGTGAGGTCGCTGGGAGCTGGTTTTTTCCCTTGGAGGGAGAGAACCAGCAGCTCTGTTTGGAGGCACTGCTCAGGGCCGGGCCAATGGGTCCCTCTGGTGGCCGTCGCCCCCAGCCAGCACCGGGACATTGCGGGGCACCAGTGCAAGCTCGCTGCTGCCACAAACCTGCTGAACCTGCAGGAGGGGCTTGGGGAGCAGCACCCCCAGACCCTCCCCTCACCCCTCCAGGAGCAGCTGGGAAATGGGGTCAGAGAGGAGGGAGTTAGAAACCAAGAATTTTGGAAAAAGTTAGAAAACTTAGAGCAGGTTAGTGGAGAGGCTGCAAAAAATACCACTGCCTGATTAATTACTTGGTTTGTTAATTAGTTGATCAGCTTTGTCCTGTACATCATCTGTCCTGGGAGAAAAGGTTTTCTACTGCCCAGCCTTGAATTCCCAAGCCCCTTCCCCTCCCTGTGCCCCCTCCCTGGCTCACTGGAGCATCCCCCAGGCAGGCACATCCTGATGGGTCCCACTCCTAAACCCATCCACAGCCCACAGCAGTGGTTCCCATCTCTCCAGACATGGGGCTGTGGGAGTCAGTAATTTAATTTCTTATCCAAAAAAGGAATGTGAAAAATAAAGGACCTCTTAGAACCAAATGCAGGTTTGACATCCTGCCACAGTTGTTGTGCTCAAGTGCCTGCTGTGGTCCAGATGTCGATGCTCTGGATGATGAGCCACTCGCTCTGGTCCTGGGTCACCCGGATCCTCACACACTCCACGGGCCCAGGCAGGACGGTCTCCAGGCCCTGCTGCTCCAGGGTCCCTCTCTTGAAGGAGCCCACGGGGACATAGGAGGAGCAGTCCTGGCTGTGGTGCCGGCTCCAGCCCAGCTCCAGCAGCCCTGCGTGCAGGAAATCGCCCGGGCGCTCCACAGAGCCCGTGCGCACCCGGACACGGCTGACGTGGGCTGGCTGCTGGAACACGATGGAAAAAGTACTACCAGCTGCTGGGGCTTTGCCCCAAAAGTAGCCCTGTGCTGAGCTGTAGGCCTTGTGGGGCTCGTAGTTCTCAAGGACGGACATGCTGGTGTGCAGGGATGCCGGCGGGTTGTCTGGGAGGTCCGAGGCATCGGCCTGGAAATCCTCGTCCTCCAGCCGGTTGACAGTGCCCTGGAAGGAGGAGTAGAAGCCCATGTGCTGGAAGAGGGACGGCCTGAAGCGGATCACGTCCTTCTGGGCAAGCAGCTGGCGGAAGTGGACCAGCAGCCAGTCACAGGGCATTTCCTGGTAGAAGAGGAGGAGGAAGCGAGCCAGGCGAGGAAGATCACTGGAGCGGTAGAGCTTCCCAATGTAGCCCAGCTTGGAGAATTCGAGGGTGGCCCAGTTGGAGCCCTGCTGGGAAGCCAGTGCCCTGCGGATGGCTGTCAGGAAGGACCTGGCGCTCCACACGTCGTCCTCGATCATTAGGTAGTAGGAGGAGAGGTTGGCGGCGAAGGCAAGCAGGAAGGCATAGTCCACGTTCTGCTTGGAGCGGAACCTCACTCGCTCCTCGGCGTCATTGAAGTTCCTCTTCAGGCCTTCCAGGGTGGGGTAGAACTCAGGGGGAGCGTGGATGAGCAGGAGCCGACCCAGGAGGATGTGGTGAGCGAACTTCTGGGCGATGGTGGCGGCAACGCGCACGTTCCAGCCGGGGTCGGTGTCAGCCAGGTGCACCACCACCACCATCTCCTGCAGCTCCTCCTCCGTGGACTGGCTGAACAGGGACTGGAGCGTGGCCAGCAGGTAGAAACCACGTGGCCTCTGCACAGATGCCATTCCCACTGCCAGGAATTCTGCAAGGCAAAGGAAAGGCTTGAGTAGGCACAGGGAGTGACCTGGGATCAGCACAATGATGTTCCTCCCTGCAAGATGTAATGAAAGGCCTCCAAAATGCTCTTCCCATGGCCAGCCTGCAGGGTCAATGCTGCTTGTAACCCGTCTAAGGCCGCTGGGTCCTTCCTGAAGCTGAAGCCTTCATTGTCTCAGGAGGGGCCCAAAATTGGCCCAAATGGCAGCAAGAGGCAGGCTGAGGAGGCAGGGGCCCCTCTGAAGAAAAATTCCTGAAAAACACCTTAAAAAAGCCAAACCCAAGTAACAGTGCAGAGAGAGTCTACAGGGCAGGAATGGCTTATTGGTATGGCTGCACATTCTGGAAGCGTTCCCCACTCCACACCTCATGGAGATGCACCCACCTGGGACCAGGCACCTTCTGTCCTCCCCATGGCCCAGCAGTAGTTCAGCTTCTCTTGCTGCTGGTTGGGGCAGCACCATTCCTGCGCTGGTTCCAGCACAGCCTCACAGGTTGTCCTGAGCTCCTTCCCACAAGGTTTGCATGGGAACTGCTTCTTGTGCACCTGGCCAAGAGCTTGGCCCACTTCTCCCACACTGTGGAGTTGTCCCAGTGATCCAGCTGACCATCTCCACTGGAACCTCAACCCCAGGGAGATGGGATCTCAGCAACCCTCTCCAGAAAGGTCTGGGAAGCCCAAAACACCAGTCACCCCACTCCCAAGGTGCAGAGACTTGGACCCTGTGTGGAGCAAATGGAGCTTCCCCAACTCCTCCATCCCGAGAGTGAGCAGTGAAGGCTGTGGAGGTTTTGGAGGAGGCTGTGGGCAGGTCCCCACCCACAAAGGCTGGACACAGCCCCTCCCTGCCCCAGCAGCAGTGATGGGGCAGGTCTGTGCTGGGATGTGCACCTGTGCACACCCAGATGTGCACACCCAGAGTCCAGGACCACTCACTTTTCCGGGGAGCCAGGGAGCCAGCAAGGAGCTGGTAGGAGACGTTGTGGAGTGCAGAGAGCTCGTCTGTGTCCCTGAGGATGTGCTGGGCTCCCTCTGGCTGCAGCAGCTGCAGGATCGTGTCAGGAGCCAGGCCCCTGAGCTGCACCTGCATGGGAGCCACAGGCAACCAGGTCACATCCCAGAGCACCATGCAGCAAGAGGGGATGACAATAGGGGGACCCAGAAGCGAAGGAGAGCCCCTGGATTATGGGGTCCATCTGCCCAAGGTAACCCCAGGGAGAGAAGGCAGAGCTGGGGGTTGGGGGTGACATGGGGCTGGGAAGAGAGCAGAGCTGAGGTCAGGGTCCATGTGGGGCAGAAAGGAATAGAGGATACTCCAGTGGCCTCTCCAGTGGGACATCACTGGTTGGGGACTCACCTTCAGGGGATCCTGTTCCTGCCGGCTGCCCCCATGGAGGAGGAGGAGGAGGAGGAAGGAGGCAGCGAGCAGAACCATGAGGGAGCGTTTCAGGGAGCATCGCATGGCCCCTGCTGGCTGAGGCCTGGGGAGATGGGACATGTCAGGGCACAGTCTGGGGAAAGCCACCACCCCCTGGATGGGACAGTACATGGATACACCCCTGGGACTGCCCCCCTGCCCTGAGCACCCACAGGTGCACACACTGGGGCAGCCATGGGGCATCAGGCAACACTTGTGCACTGTTCCCTTTGGGCAGGAAGGGACAGGGACACCCCAACCTGACCAGGATGAAATCAGCCAGGTACAAAATCCCCCCAAACCAGCCCCAAGCCACCTCAGCTGCCCTGGGACACCCCAAGCAGCACCCCAGAGCTGGATGCAGAAGAAATGCAGGTGACAGTACCTTAGGAAAAACTTTTTGGTCGTGGGGACACCCCAGACCAGTCACCAACACCCCAGGACTCGTTACCAAGCCCTGGGAAACACTCAGGTCTGAAATGGGCCCAGGCTGCTCTTCCAGCACCGTGAGGAGGAAGCAGCTCCCCACCTTCCTCCAGACAAACACCAGCTCGCCCTGTCCCAGCCCTGTGCCCTGACTGGCAGGACAAAAAAGGCATCCCTGAGGAGACAGTGTCACCTTCAAGGAAGTTGCAGTGAACTTGAGGTATTTTACCTTGTAGCAGAGGTATGGCAGGAGGCTAAAAGGCTCCTGTTTTTGGCTGGGTTTTTTCAGTTATAAATGTGACAGTTCTGCCCTGGAAGAGAAACAGCTGAGCCCAGGTGAGTGCCCAGTGTGACAGGGCAAACACCCTCAGCCCCATCCACACTGCACACAGTGCCTTGGCTTGGCTTGGTCAAAGCAGCTTTGAATGCAAATGTGGAGGAAAAGCCCTCCTAAGCCTTCCCAAACCAAGGTTGGGCTTCCCAGGACTGTGGCCTAAAGACTTTCTTGCCCCAACCACCACTGTGCAGGGGATGCTCCAAGCCCACCCACAGGCTCCACAGATAGGAGAAGAGCCTCTGGGGCCACTGCTCTGGAGCATATGCTGGGCTTAATTTAAGGAGAACCCTCTAATTTCTGTGCCTAGGAATCCTTTGGAGGGGTTGTCAGCTCCTGAAGAGGCTGGTGCCAAGCAGGTGCCCCTGATGTGATCTGCAGCCACTCCGTCCTTGGAGCAATGACCCCGTGCAATGAACACGTCGCGTTCCTTGGAGATAAACACTTGGAGCCAGGGAGCCGTGCTTCCAGGCAGGGCAGAGACAACAAGCTCCTGGAGCTGCTGGAAATGCCTGCACAGGCCCCAGCAGAGAGTGGGGCCTCTCCACCCCTTACAGCTCTGGACACATGGGGGACCTCACCAGCTCAGGGGGGAGCAGCATTAGGGACCTGCCTGAGCCACAGGGACGTCACACCCTGACACCACCCTGGACATGCATGTCCAAGCCTGGACCTCCAGGATCTACAACCAGGGCCATGGTGAGCTGGGAAGGGCAAGGTTTGGCCACATGGGGAACAGGTGACAAGCACAGAACAGAAGGTGAGAGTGCAGCCACATAATTAGCCCCCTAACTGGACTTTGGATTTCTGCCTCCATGGAGGAACAAAGCAGCCCAGGTAAGAGGGCACAACCAGGGGTACAGCTTCCTCCTGCTCCAGCTCCAAGTGCCTCCACAGCGTATCCCTGTCCCCACACTGCTCCAAGCACCTCATGCACTTTCTCCACAGCTCAGCACCCCACTGCAGATGTCTCCAAAAGCCACCACTGTGGGGACATTTGCCAGGAGGAGCTGAGAGCCACTTGCTTGGAGCCAAATTCCTCTCCAGCCTAAGTCCAGGGCAGGGGGAAGGAACAGTCCATTCCCAGCCTCAGTCCTACGAGGTTTCCTCTGTGAAAACTCCTGGTGTGCAGGCAGCTCCAGCTGCTTCTGCCGGCACTGGGGAGAGCAGGGCTGGTTGCACAAGGAGGAGGGAAAAGCCAGGGCTCCTTTCCCACTGCCAGGAGTGCCTTTTGTGCTGGGGGAAACTGAGGCACACACAAATGCTGTGTCACCCAGCAGGGTAAAAACACTCAGTGCCCCGCCCTGGGGATCTCGGGATGGAGAGGGGTTGCAGCAGCAGCAATGTGTGGGGGACACTGTAAATTGTGGCCATTCGGGGCTGTGTGGGATGGGGACCCCTGGGAGTCAGGCCAGGGTCTGGCCCCATGTCCCTGGGTGTCTCTGCTCCAGGGGTTGTCGCACGGGACAAAGGAGGGGAAATGCCCTGTTCCAGCAGCACACGGCTCCGGGGGCCAAAGCTTTCGGTCAGCTCAGGTGTCCCACACCTGTCCCCAGCACAGGGGGCTCCCTGCGGGAAGGGACAATTACACCGACCCTGTCCCCACCACTGAGAGCCGGGGAACGCCCCGGCCAGCCCCCTGCCCTCACCCCCGGGTCCCAGACACCCCTCCCATGGCAGCAGGAGACGGCTCCTGGCCAGCCCCGCTCTGGGCGCCCCCGCCGAGGGCAGACACTCACGGGTGGGCGGCAGCGTCGCCTCTCTGGGGCACTCGGCCCCGGCACATCCCCGGGCTGGCCACACTCTGGATCCTCGCTCGGCAAAGCCCCACCCCGAGCCCTCGCCTGCCTCCCTCAGAGGAGGAGCGTCCGCCGCCGGCCTCTGCCCCAAGAGCTCCGGAGCAGCGGCCAGGCCGACAAGGGCCCCCAGCCCACCGAGGGAACGGAGCAGCTTCAGGGACGGGCATCCCAGCATGGGACGTGTCTGTGTCCCACCGACCCCATCCTCACAGGCTGCTCCAGTCCCCCGGGCACCACCAACCCCCGCTGGGGGCTCTTGCCAAGCCCCAGCATCCCAAACTCCAGCATGAACCTGCCATTTCACCGAGCCAGGGGCTGGGGACACGGAGCTGGGGACACGGAGCTGGCACAGCTTTTTCCCCATTTATTTTCCAGCTCTTGTGCTGAGTTGGCAAAAAACTCTGGGGCTGCAGAGCCAGAACTGCACGCCTGACACCCCGGGCCAGGGCAGAACCTGGATCCTAGCTGGGATGTAGCCCCAGGACACTCCAGCTTCCCCACACGCTCCAGCTCCTCACTGGAGTATTGGACATTGCAGCTGGGCTGGGAATGAAGCCTCTTCTGATCCCAATGAACCAATGTGGGCCACACAGGGACCTTCCTCTGCCTGGTTTGTTCCTCCACTCTCCAAGACTTTTCTCCCACTGCCTCCCTCCTCCAGACCCAGTGCAGGAACATGGCTCTGGAGCATCCACAAGTCACCAATGGCATCGCTTGTCCCCAGCTCCAGATCAACTCTTCCCCACACAGCAACTCACCCACAGCATCCCAGCGGACAAGAAGTCCCGTCCCTTCCATTCCACCCACCCCATTTATTCACACAGAAGCGTGGATCCCACTGCCCTTCTCTCCTTGCTGTCCTGGACCTCTCCTACCTTCAGGGAGCCTCACATCGCTTGTAAGAGGCTCCAACTTCTACAAATCCCCCGTAACAACTTCCAGCCCCGGCTGCTCCCTGTGGGAACACATGGAGCCTGGGACATCTCTGCACGAGAGAGATAAGGTAGGGCAGGAAGCAGGTGCTGGGAAGGTGGAAGAGACGTCCCCAGGCTCCCAGATCTGCTGGCTTTCACTTTCCCTACATCATTTGGGTTTAAATCCTTACACTCCGATGGTGTGACGGCAGTGGCTCTGTCCCAGTGGGGTCCCAGGGGCTCAGTGGGGACACTCCACCAGCACTGGAGCAGAGGCACTTGAGGATTCCCACCTGGGCAGGGGCTGGAGGACTCCAGGAGGGCCAAAGGAGGCAGGATGGGGCAGCCCAGCATAGCTTTGCTGCTCAGTGGCCCAGGATGGAAAGGAGCATGGGGCTTGGTGGCAGCTGCAGGAGGGGGAGGGATTTACTCAACCATAGCTGCACTCCTGCACAGGAAGGAAACCTGGTCTTTCCTGCCTGCGCAGAAAGGAAGAGGGAGAGGGCTGTGACACCCAGCACAGCCCTGCATCCCCAGTGCTCAGGGTGCAGCAGCCTGACCGTAGGAACAGCCAGCACTGCCAAGGGGAGCAGCAGAGCCACCAAATTCAATTCCCTGTTGGTCCCCACAGGCCACTTCAGGGTGCAGTGCTGGCATTCTCCCAGCACATTCACAAGCCTGCCTGGAGCAGGAAAGGAATCCACAGCTAGGACAGAGCTCCTGGTGCCCAGGCAAACATCCTGGGTCCTCTTGCCCTCAAAGCAGGTGCCACGAGTCCAGCCTGAACCAGTTCATTCAGCCGTGCCTTTGTGCTATGGAGCAAGTCCCAGGTGGTGTTTGGGTGATGAAAAGGAGTCCCTCCACCTGCCCCCTGTGAGAGCCACAGCACAGCCCCAGTGCCCAGGAACCAACCAGAGCCTGGCACCCAAAGCTGCTCTCAAACCTCTCTCTGGCCCCAAACCCAAACCCACTCTACTCACTGAAATATTTCACCAGGGGAAACAGGGAGGTGGCTGAAATGAGGCTAAAGGACACATTTTTGCTTGCTTTTAGAATAAGCTGAAGAAGCTGCAAAGGCTGCTCTGAGAGAGCCCCATGGCTGCACAGGCACACCCAGCACAGGGGGCCGAGGAGGACCAGTTCCCCCAGCTGGGGCCAGAGCACAGGGACTGGGATGGGACAAGCACAAGGGAACCCACAGCAGGGCCCAGCCCCCTTTCCCAAACCCCCAGGCCCCGCCTTACCCAGCTCAGCTCCTGTTGGACACCAGATCCCTGACAAGGATAGGAACAGGGTGGTGGCCAAATCTTCCTGTCTCCCCAAGGAAACCAGAGAGGCAGGCAGGATCTGTTTACAGCCCTTCCATTATTCAGGAGCAGGGCAAAGCAAAGGTAGAACGCAGCCTCACACAGCAGGGAGAGCACAGGGAGAGCCACCACGATGCTGATCTGGAGCTCCATTCCACACCACCAGGGACCCCTCTGAGCTGTGTCCTGCAGAAATGGGTGACACCAAATCACAGCCACTCCTGCCTGTGCACTCACTGCATCCCACCCTGGAGGACACCAAATACGACTTTTTTGGCAATCAAGCTTCGAGAGGCTGGGCTCGGGGGCCAGGGTGGAAATCCCCTGCTCAGGGCAGAGCTTTGGTGTCACTCCCTCACCGAGCAAACCTCAGCCCAGGGTTCAGGGTGTGATGCTCTGGGTAAGGACCAAGGGAACACATGCATCTGCAGTTCTACAGAGGCAGAATACCCCCTCCATAGCATCCCTGCCACTCCCCAGCCTCCCAAAATGGATCAGAACAGGTTCCCAACCCTTGCCAGCACTGCTAACCAGTACAGCTCCAGCACTGGGAGCTTTGTAAAGGAAAAGATTGAGAATTCTTCTTGTACATTTTCTACATTTCAGCCTAGAAAACGCCTGGCCTCGGAGGGGCACCTCTGGCTTAGGGGCATCTATCTGTATCTAAATACCCATATTTGAATCCAGTAAGTCTGTTGGTGGCAGGAAACATCCCATCCACCTGCTTCCTGCTGTCACAGCCTGTGCTACCCGCTCTGGCTGCACTGCCAGGGATCAGCCGGGGAATTCTAGGAGCTGCCAAACACCTCTGCCCCCTGGATTTGCCACATGCCTGATGAGGTGTTCCTGCTTTGCCTGATGGCAGGAACACACACCCCTAGAGCTGTCCTGTGGCTCTGCACAGGAGCCAGAGCAGGGCCCAGGCTGCTGTTCCCAGCCCCACTCAGCCACAGCAGCTCCTCACAGATAAGGGCACAGCCTCGCACAGACACCAGCCTAAGGCACACACTGCTGTCAGCCTAAGGCAGGAACCAAACCACTCTGCTCCCACCCTCCAGACCCTGCAGAAACAGCTATCAGCAGGCACACAGCCCTGGCACCATCACAAGGGAGTTTTCAGGGAATGTGGCAGGAAACAGCCTGAAGCGCAGTCAGAACCAGGCTCTCTGCAGCCACCTCCCTGCAAGACAACTGGAAACTGCAGCACGACCACATTTCACTTCCTGAGCTGCACCGCCTGTCCCCGAGTTCAGTGGTGTTTAACCCCACAGCCAAAGGAAGATTGTTGTCCCCCACTTCCCTGGGGCATCTTCCTTGGAGATGGAGCCCCTGCAGCCCTTACTCACAGCTCCAGCCCCTGTCCTGTCTCTCCTGCACCACAACCAGAAGATAGCCCAGGCTCTGCTATCATGGCAGCCCCAGGAGCACAGGGACAGCACATTTACCTCTACTAAACCAATTTAAATTCAAAACTTACCTGGTGGCATCAACAGAAGTTCAGCAGTAGTGGAAAGGGAAATGTGAGGCAGGAGCTGTCCCAAATGTGTTTGAAGTCAAATGAAGAGCCTCCAACACAGATCCAAGGTTGGGGCAGATGTCCTTAGTGGTGATTTACAAAGTGGCAGAGGTACATGCAAGGAACTCCTCCTGGGCAGCTACACCAGGGTCATGTGGGGGTCACAGAATCACTGGATATTCTGACCTGGAAGGGACTCACGAAGACCACTGAGTCCAAACCGAGACGGCAGAACTCCCTTTCCTTCAGGAGCTTCAGTGAACATCCTACACGGACAAGTGCAGCTCCTCCTGCTTGGGACCGGATGTGATGTGCAGTAGGACTGAGGAACTGAGATCTGAAAGGCAGCAAAGTTCAGTCCAGGGTATCTGCACAGCTGCTCCCCTGCCCTACAGCACCTCCTCTACACCTCCCCAGGGAGCCACGTGTTCAATTAAACCTCCAGACACGTTCATTCTGCTCACATCACACCCCCAACAGGTCCAGCCCCCGTACCCCTCACTTCTCAGTCAGCCCAGAACCACAGGAAGTTTCAGGGTTGCTTCTTCCTCACAGAAATCAATTTGTTTAGTCAAAAGCTAGATCAGTAGTTGCTTGGGGGCTTTCAACAGAAAAGATTTCTACACTGCTCTTTCAAAAGACACAGAGTCGAGTCCTTCATCACTGCTTCGGTTATTTTAGTTTATCCCCTCCTCTCCCCGTTTGTGTTCTCTAAAAAGCACCGTCTGGTTTTAAAAGTTTAGATCTTCTTTTCAAAGAAAAACACCGGTGTGAGAACTTGAGTACCTTTACGTTCAAGTGAGACTTTTGCCTTACACCTCCTCTTTGAAGTAATTCCTTTGTTTGATCATTTATGACTTTTTCTTTCCTTAAACTCAGATCTTCTGGGCTGGGAATTAAGATTATGGTTGATCACTGCTGTCTTGCTCACTGCTTCTCAGACACTGAAATATCACACTGTGCATGAACACAATTCTGCTGCAGTAAAACAAACATGGATTTTGTTTGTAAATTGTTCCTGGAAAGCAAAAGGGAAAGTTCTTGGAAAGCAAAACCTCCTGCTTCTTCCCGAACAAGAGAACACAGGACCACTTTGATTAGCACCAAAAGGATTTTAAATGAACAGTTCCAGGGAGCTCCTTTCAAATCATAAAATGTCAATTTTACATAAAAGTGTGTTTACAAATAGTTTCTGCTTTACACTCAGCTCTGCTCATTACTGACCAGAAGTTATATACATACAAACTAGCTCAGCAGCTTCAACCACTTGCAAGGAGACTGCAGAATTTATTTCAGAAATAAAAATAGGATTTCCTGGTTCCTAGAAATTCTCTTCAGCCTGCCAGATTCAGTCCCCTGTGGGCTCCTGCAGCCTCAGGAGAGCACTAGGCCTTTGGGGAGAAGGGGTACTGTGGGTGCCACCAATCCAGAAGCCTGACACTGTGCACAGGGTCCAGCACCACCTGCACCCCCTGCTCCACGCGCGGCTTCTTCCCGTTGCGCACGGGCGCGTCCTGGAACACCAGGCGCACGCGGTGGTGCCGCATGTCCGTGCTCACCGAGATGGAGAACTGCAAGAGAGGAGAGCAGAGCTGCTTCAGAAAGTCACAGTGACCAAGAGAGCTCTCAACACAACACTTCTAGACTTCATAAATTCCTCTGAATTCTGCAAGTCTCAGGTGTTTCACAGTCACACTCTCAAGGCTAAAGCACAGGATCCAAACGGGCTCTCTGGCTGGCAGCCCCCAGCAATCATGCTGTGAGCTCTAAGGGTTGTAAAAGAACACTGGAACTGCCTGGGCAGTGGTGGAGTCACCATCCCTTGCAGTGTTCAAAAGGCCTGTGGATGTGGCACTTGGGACATGCCTTAGGGGTGAGCATGGCAGTGCTGGGACTTGATTGTGAAGGTCTTTTCCAATCTAAGTGATTTTATGAGTCTGATTCTAAGTGAACCTGGAAGCAAGCAGCGGTCAGGAGAAGTCTGGAACTCGCTGCCCAACTCCTAAGCGAGACCAGACTGAACCTCTCCTGAGCAGTGGCCATTTCTGAAATGCTGACTCCCAATCAGGGACCAAACACATTTAAAGAGTTTTCTCATGTGGGATTTTCCTCTCAGAATTTATTGCCATAAAGAGGTATTTTCCTGTGAGGGGCAGACCTCCACTTGTGCTGCTCCCTGTCTCCTGTACCTGCTGCAGATCTGACTAACCTGCCCCCAGACCCTGCACAAACACAGCTCCTGGCAGATTCTCTACATCCTCTCTACTCACTGCACCAAACAGGGAAGAGCCAACGGAAATGGTGAAGTTCAGCTGAGATTCTGAGCATTTCCTCTCTTCATTAACCATATGATTCCCAGAACTGGTTTTCTGATAGAGCAGTAAGATTTATACAGCCCAAAAGAGGCACTGGGTGGGATTCTTGGGGCTGTCCTGTGCAGGGCCAGGAGTTGGGCTTGATGACCCCTGTGGGTCCCTTTGAACACAGGAGATTCCAGGTGCCCCTTCATGTCCTTACAGGAACCTCATCTGCAAAGTCTGGCAGCTTCCTCCCACTCACCAAGGTGAAGGTCATGCCCATGACGATTGGCACGAAGATGAAATTGAAGGTGGTTATCTGCAGCAGGCAGCAATCCTGATCTGGGTTTGTGTGCACTTCCTCATACTGGATTGGGGGCTGGAGACCTTTGCAACACTTGCTCTTAAATCTGGGAGACTTGAAAGAAAGAGAGGAAAATTTAGTGAAGCAGGAAGCTCTGCTGGGTTTGGCTGCTCCTCCCCAGTGCAGCCTGGCAAGGTCTCTCCTCCTCCCCAGGTGTTTGGGCAAAGTATCACATTAACAACAAAATGCCATCACTCAGGATGGGCAATTTTCAGGACCATTTCTTTAGAGGGAAAACCAATTCCCAAGGTTCCCTGAAATTACTGGCTTCTCCCAGTAATTTCTCCACTACTCCACTTCTGGAGGCTTTCCCTGGCAGTGCTTGCTGTCTTCACTTCTCTGAGAAATCTTGGCAATGGCATAACAAGAAGTTTCAGATTTTGGTCAACATTTTGACCACTGCAGTCAAGACTCTCTGGGTTTTGGTAAAAATCAGTAGTGATGACCCAAAGGTGAGATTAATTGGTGTAAAAAATCATCCACATCTTATAGCAGGGAAAGGACACCAAAGGAGGAAATAAAAATGTGGGAATCTAAATGTCTTGGTAACACAAACTGAAAACTGAGTTTAGTTCCACAATGTGCTTCGGTTTACAATGGGAATCAGTTTGCATTTATTGTCTGAATGGACAAAAAGCTTCCACTTCCCTTCTACCCCCCAGAAAAATAATTTCTGCTTCAAACAAAAGTCACAGCTGATCTGGTTCTTTCATACCTGCTTTTTGAACTTGAAGTTGAATTCCCACATTGCTTCTTGTCTGTTCCCTACAATCTTTTTGCACCAGAAAAGCAGACACTGAGGTGGAAAAAAGAAACACAATATTATGAAACCCTTAGAAGCACCACTTTAAATAAGTTTCAACTGATTATAAAGGCCTCCAATTGCAAACACAATTACATAGGAGCAATTAGGAGCCGCTTATTCAAATTAATTACAATTACAAATTAATTCCAAGAACCCTCTCAGCAGTGTAGATATCCCAGTTTCAAGCTGGCCAGCTCCTCATGCAACATGTAGTCACTGATGTGCCAAACAGCAAAATCCTGTAGTGCCATTTGTCCCTTTCCTAGGGCAGGGATGAGTGGTGCAGATTCACCCATTCCCTCCACCCACCAGCAGCTCCCATTAAACTGGGTTCCTAACAAGGTTAAAGCAAGGAACAACAGAGAACAGAATAAGGATCGAAAAGGAAAGGATCTAGAGGGAAATATAAAGACCAGTACACAAGCAATGAGGTGATGGATGAAGAAGTTCCTAAACCACTGGGGTGTCAAATGGAGACCTTGACCTTGCCATCATCAGCACTGACTGTCATCGTTCTGAGTCCAAAACCAGTGCCAGGACAGCACAGTCTGACCAACCTGCTGTCTCTTTTCAAAAGGAAATGAGAAACCAGCCTCAAACAGCCTCAGAAGTCACCAGCACTGCCCTCCCACACAGATACACACTAGGACTGCTCTAATTTCACTTGGTTATCACTGTGGGTCACAGGCTTCAGCCCAGGAGGCTCAGAAGAAGTCCTGTAGGAGGGAAATCCCTGCCTACCAGTCACAGTACAAGCGAGCAGCCTTCAACAATCAAGGAAAGAACCTGGGAAGTCAGTCCAGACATCTCTCAAAGCTTTTCCACACCACAGATGCCAGCCCACCACAGCTGGTCTTATCTTTCATCAGTGTCAGCAGGAAGAGGAGGAATAATGTGGGTAGAGAGAACTCCCTGTGATCCATACACAGTCTCTCCTGAAGAGAGAAGGCCTGACTGGGTTGCAGGGCAGAGCACACATTTAACTTCATTCAAAGATGATCCTAATAAAATGAAGCCAGAGCCAGCCTCTACCACAGGGGCTTTGAAGAGACCAAAGGAGATACAAGATCCTCTACTTCAACTCTAAGTCATATCCATAAACAAGAGTCCTTAAAGGACCCTTTTTCTCCACAACCTTCATGAAGTGAACAACAAAGCTCTGTGGAGTAAAGCTCAGAAACATGCATGGAATAACCTCCACTTGGGAGGAAGCAGCCCTCAAGTTTTTTCCAATAAAAACCTTCTCCAGATCTTTTAACTCAGATGAGCAGCAGATGCTGCTGAGTTTAACTCCACCATCAGTGGCATTTGTAGTTCACCTGCAGAGACAGCCTGGTCTAGCAACCTGTTTGGTCATGGCAAGTAGTGAAGCACAAAAGGTCAGTACCTCCTAAGGGGCAGAGGATGTCGTCCTCGGGTCAGCCGTCCTGCCCTTCAGACGCGCCGTGCGGCTGCCGCTCCGCCCAAAATAATGGGGTGTCTTTAAAGGGCAAACACCTCTGCTGACACCATAACGGCTCCAAGTGTCCCACACAAGCTAGGCTAGGGAAAGAAAAAAGGAAATTAAAGAGGAAAAGCTAGGTTGGATCACACCCAGGACTGGGCTTTCCTCTAGCCACATGCAGTTTAGGTAGTCGTTGCTGTTAGTGTCAGCAACCCACAAAGGTACAACCAAAGCCCAGGAAAGCCAGAACGTGAGGAGGCAGTGCCAGGTCCTCCTCCAAACCCTCTGTGCTGAGGAACTTCTGTGCACAGTCACACAAGTACAGCTCAGAGTCCTGCAGTGCAGTAGTACAGCAAGACCAGGTTCAGGGTGGCTCTTTCATGCTGCAAGGGGTTAGGTCAAACCTCTACTGCTTTGACAAAGTCTCGTCCCCATTTAATTTCCTTTTTTAAAAGCTGAACAATGAAAGACTGCACTTAAAAGGATCCTCCTCCAACTGTTAGTACAGGAGAAGCACTAGCAGTGGGCACCAAAGCCGTTATGATGTCACCAGGAATCCTCCTGACCCTGCCAGCACCACCTTGGGGTTCCAGCTCCTACAGCCACGAGCAGTGGGAGCCTGGGCTCAGGACTACTGGAATTTCCTCCAAGTGTCTTCTTTTTTCAGTTGGTAAGAATGAAGATCCCCAGCCTGGGGACTCAGGAAGAGAACGAGAAGCTCTGGATGCAGAGATAAGACCGCACACAGAGCCATGTGCTTTTCCCTGTGCTGCAGCACCACCTCCTGTGTGCTGCTGGATGCTCCCCGAGCCTATGGGGACACAGCTGGGACAGGGAGAGGAAGGAAGGAAGGCAGGATGTCACGTACAGATAGATGAAGCTCCTCTATTTTGAATAGAAAAGAAAGAGTAACTCCTCAATGAAACCCACTTCAGTTGGGCTCCAAAATCCTCATTCAACAGGTTTTTGACCTTGGATTTGGAGGTGGAGAATTCACATTGTTGTTTAAGCTGCTCACAGAGTATCGGCCAGTTGCAAGTTAAAACCAAACAAGAGACACAAAGGCATTTCAGAGTTAATGGTCAACAGCAATTA